TCTATTTCCTTGGAAGTGTACATTTTTAATATATGATTTTGTTGCCAAACTAGGTGTAATTAAGTTCTAAAATCTGCACTAAAGGTCTCTAGGCGACCAATTAAAAACTCTAGGGTCGGATTCACAAATATAAAGTGATTAAAAATATAAATATATTCCTATTTATAAATGTAAATAGATAGTATAGATACCTTTAAATAAATACTAAGCATCCCACCACTAAAGTCATCCAAACACTTTATAAACAATCATCTTAATCACCATTCGATATTGATACGAATTCGTAATCACTTGCCCTTACTGTGATCAATTAGCGAACTGTACCATAAAAGTCGTCTAACTCATAAAACGGCGTGTAGCAATAAACACACTAATCTAAAAACACACCCAATGACCCCCAATAGATCGCGCCGAGGCGTTACACAACATATTGTATATTAACATCTAATACTGTTTCGTAAACTTTAAAAAGCTATAAATTATGTGAACATAATATTGGAATGTTAACGGAGTATTGTCGGTGCGTACAAGCGCTCCTATACGCGGTGAAGGTGAGCTGTAACTGATCTTGAAATGCAAAAGTCCGGTAGTCCTTGGGAAGTTTTGTTTATAAACAAAGGACGTGTTATGCAAGAAGCTGTTAAGGTTTGTGCGCGTAAAGAATCGGGTTTTACGGCCGCATTATATGGACGGGGCGAGATAAAGCGATTGTTTTGGGTCGTAAATAAACCTGCAACAGGTACAGTGCCAACGGGACTCCACAATCACGAGCCGCCAACGCTTTCCCTTTCGGTTCGGTTCGGTTTGGTATCATTGCGTTCGTGTCACACGTTTTGCATTCAATATATTTTAAATGAAAGCTTTTATCAATAGTTAATTAATTTACAGCAATTAATAAACTAGACGCATGCATAACGATTTATACAAAATACTCATTTTCGTGCTTATTAAGACTAATATTTTAGTTTGTTGAGCCATCTAATTAAAATAAAAAATAATTGTTAATATTCAAAATGAATTCTCTGTCCTCATCAGATTTCCTAATTTTGCTTGGTGTGTATAAGATTCTTATAAATTCGCTTTCTTTTTAGCTTGATCGATCATTATATTATAATAAGTCAATATTTTACAAAGAAGCTCGAAATAACTAGTAGATAAAACTAGGGCTAGCGCCGAGCCGGCGTCCGAGACCCACCTAAAAATAGTAATTGAAGAGGCCGTAGCATGAATAATATTAGGGCGTCGTGACGCGGGGCCTTGAATCGATACGTAATTATAGAGTGAAAACGTACCCCTCATAAATATTATATCCGTGGTATAAGGCGAGGCTGGAATCGCCCGCGGCCGCCATTGTGTGGATCTACTCACCATGGCAGCGTTAGATGACGTCATATTTGAAAAGCTTCGTACTAAAAAGTGTCCGAAAAATTAACCGATGTTTGAGTTATGACAGTGAAAACTAAAATCGAGAGAGCGTTTATTACTCTATAAATGTCCGATGCTTAATTTTGAGCTTATAAATCATATCAGAAAGCTAAAAGCGACAAAAATCATTTTCAGTGAAATATCTATTATTATCTGCGATTTTAAAAAAAAGTTATTTTGTTCACTGCTAGCAAATTGTGTAATTGCAAAAACAATAAGATATTTTGGACATATTATTTGCAAGCAATTTTTACATTTCTTTGACATTATTACAAATTGTTACAAATTATAACTGTGATAAAATAAAAAATTGGAATTCGTTTTTATTCATTCAGGGACTTTAGTAATGTTTCCTCATTCTCTAAATTGTTTCCCTACTTTATCTAATTTCGGTCCACGCGATGTTTGCATGTCGAAAGGCAGTTAAACTCGGTTCAGATTAAACCGGTGCCAACTTCCACGATTCGTGTAAAAATTGACCGTGAAATTTCAACTCTCCGTTCGTTACAACGTTCAACGTTAATTTAGAATTTTTTACGTTACAAATCCCCGATTATTTTTTCTACAAATTATACATTGTGTATACGGGTTTTGTTACTGGCCATATCTGGCTATTAAGAAAAAACTGTGTTTCAAAATATAAATTAAATGGAATAAAAAAACTTTGCATGTAAAGTCTAATAAAGAAGATAAATAGACAAATACCATACGATATTTATTAAGGCTAGACTGAAAAACATAGCAAAGAAACTATTTGCTGATCAATAATGGTTGACATCGAAACTAATTGCAGTATGTATCGACCGCAAATTACGTAACAAATGGAGAAGCGTTTAACTCCCATATTGTTAGAAAAGAAGTGGACAAAAACAAAGAGCTCGCTTATTCTATGAGAGAATTTAATAAACATCTGCCTTTAGGAATCCACGTCGCATCTGTTCCTCTGGCGTCGGTTCTTTTTACTAAATTTCAAATGCGCGCGAGCCGCTTCCAGCTTATACGGGCAGATGTTCATGTTCTATTTCAATTTTAATGAAGAATCTGTTTTAAAATTAAAAAACATAGAGTACATTTTCGAATGCATGTTAAGTGAACTTTTCATTTTGAACTTTTTATGTACATAATGGTCCGAAACTTAGATTATGATGTCGGAATTCGAAATTCGGCAGCGTTTAGGGAAGCTCCATGGTAGCGAGGGCCATAGATAACGGTAAACGGGGTCATTTTTTGGCTCTACCCTCTTTTGTAGCTCTTTAGGCCTAACGTATTACATTTATCAAACGTTCTTTGTAGAAAATTTGGAATTATTTAACCATTTACTTTATTACTTCCTTTTTCTAATAACTCTATTAGGCAACTTAATCTCTGTAATTTTCACACTACATTTGCTTCGGCATATTGTTTATTTTATTTACAAGGGAAGATTTATTATATCTGTGCAGCTACAGTTGTCTGTTGACAACTTCTTATGTCATGTAAAATTTAGTAAATAATATTATATTCTTATTATAAAAGATTGTGTAAAATTTCTGATTTATACAAAAGTAATAATTTAAATGTTACCCTAAAAACTAATAACACAGTACCATTTAGAAATAGAGCGCGAATCCCGAGGGTTTGTAAACCTCTACCCATAAATTTAGAATTGACTATACAAGAAAAAAACCTAAAAAAAGTGATAGATCATCAATATTGTGTCTTAAGTCAATGTACTAAGATTTAAATTGGATCATCATAAGCGTAAAACGAAACAAGGGGAAATGAATTAATGTAACGAACTCAATCAAACCGAGCGTTTGAAGCAATTTTGAAGGGACTCCCAAAATTCCCTTGTTTTATATACAAATAGGAATTGAACACGAATCTTTTAGTATTGCTTTATTATGTAACCTCTCACGCTTCCTAAACAAATTGGTATAAAACAATAATAATAATAGCGATTCTTCCTGAGCCCAAAAAATAATACATCGAGAAAATCTATCAGCAAATATTAAAAACAATCATCATCAACCTGCCCTTATCCCTATCGAGGGTCGGCACAGTATGTACTACTTCTCCATACATCTCTATCAGCCGTCACATCCGAGTCTACCCCCTTCTTACGCATATCCTCTTTCACACAGTCATTCCATACTTTTTTTGGTCACATTCAATCTCATTATTTTTTTGCTTATATTATCAAAAAAAAAACAATGTTAGTAAAAAAAGTTCAAATCGAGCTAACAACTTGGTAGTTATAGTTTTGTATTATAAAATTTTCAGAAATAACTTGTCGCAAAACATCTCACATTTTCAATGCTCCAAACATATAGTAAACATTTAGCATTCCAATCAATCGCGTGTCGTGTACAACTACAAAGACTTATTTCTTTGACCCTCAAAATTTAGTAATTTAAGTTTTCCCCTTCGGATAGCATTTCATTTACCTCTTCAACCGATACGCTGCGTGGGACGAACTAATCTGGCACACAAACTGTTGTAGAGTTGTCATTGGAAGTTCAAATTTTATTACCAATTTTATAATTTGTAATTTTTATTTGCCAAATATCAGCTTAACACACTTGCCTATATAGTAAGTTTTGAAAAATACTAATTTTCTTCGTCTCCATAAAAATATAATTTTATTTGTGAATCTCATGATAAGACTGGCTATAATTGTCCACTTTTTTATCGAAATAATCTTTTTACTTGTTAAAAAAACCTCATTAGGAAGAAAAAAATCTATTCATTTTTCATTTTATTACGTTACGAGTCGGAAGACCGCTCTATTAAGCATTGTATGGTAATTAATTAAATTTGTTTTAATGCTTTTCACCAAGAAAGTTCTAATAAATCATAACTATGGTAAACTAAGCGCATTGTTCTAAAACCTTTCACATATGCAGCGGCTGCAAAATTCTAATTAAAAATTAAAGTAGAATAAATTATCTTATTAAATTGAACAAACCTATATACGTGGTTTAATAACCACAACCCACTGTATAATTTTTGTTTGAATAAAAAAGTGTTGTTTAAGACTAATGATGAAGAGACTATTAACGTTTTTGTAAAGTTTTATATGGATGCCTCTCCGCATATTCCTCTGTGCCGATAATTCCCTCCATTGATTCGTAACGCCTCCCGCTCCACGCTACAATGGTCGCGAGTGAGCCCCGACATTTGCCATTGTGTTGTTGTCTATGCCCTGCTTTCCTCAATGTGCAGTTATTTATGGCCTGCAATGTGTGTGTATAAGTACGCATTTCAACCGAAAATCGAAAATTTCAAGAAAGCCCAAGTATTTTTCGTCGCGTCACTGAAAATTAAACTGTTTTCGGCACCATCTTCTTTACAGTTAAGGAACTAAAACACACAAGAACATAACACTAGATGAAATGTCAACTAAAATTCCCAATAATTGAATGAAATAAGTTCAACATCCTATAAAAAAATTAACGCAGCAATGCAATTTGTTTGTTAAAAAAGAAAGTAGCAAGTTTAAAATGTCATATTCGATAGTAAATCTAGTATGGCATGAAGTAATTTATTGTAATAAAATTTAAAAGGTTCATTAATTGAATTAGATGTATCTCAAGGGGACCGAACCCACTACATAATGCTCGTAACAGAGGAGCTGACATAAATGTGACTGCCGAAACTAAACAATTGTTTCTCTTGCAGGCGGCAGGCGGCGGGGGGCGCTGGGTACACGCTTGCGAAATACGAGCATTGGGGTTGTAAAGCAGAGCGTAGAAGCTACTGAAAATTGTATATTTATTCTTTTATATTTAAATTTTTAACAAATATTATAGTAGTAGTCTTGTATATAGATAGTCTTGTATATAAACAATACTTAAAACAAATTTCAGCATTTCAACTTTGAGTAATGCATTAACTTTTTGCTATTTTTCATCTGCATAAATGTGATGGAAATTGATGTCATTTTACATATTATTAATATTGTTATCTTAGGGATGTTGTTTAGGGTGATATTATTTATCCATTTTTAATAATTATACGGTTGATATTTCAGTAGCGACATGTTGCGGGAAAGTCGACGGCACACGGCGCGGCGGCGTACGTCGCTCGGCGGGCAACACCAAACGAATCTGATCACTGACCCATGAAGCTTGCAGAAAGGAAATTTTCTTCTTGCGAAGAAAATACGACAATATAAATAACTCCATTGGCCCCTACCTACCACTACATCACCCTATGACAAAAGAGTTATCGGTGCGTTGAAAACAAAAATGGCGACTTGATTTATTGCGGAGGCTCGCGCATTAGCCGAGCCGTTCGGGATCGCTGCTCGGACCGAGAAATTAAACGTCCACTTCTTTCTCATGAGTCCTACAAATGTTTGTCCTAGATGAAAATACAAAATAATATTTTCGAAAGACTTAACGATCTACTTGGTTAATGACTCGTATTTCTTTCTGCAGCTTTAGCATTTAAACACAAGTTTCTGCTGTTGTATGGAGATTTAGTGTCGTTGTTATTCTAATGATATAATGGAACTCATCTCTGACGAAGAAAATATTAATCTTCTACATTAAATTTACTGCTTACTGCTTTAATACTCAGAGTTAACTTGATATTTTTTCAGAAACTTTTTACTGTGGAATGAATCGAACATTCGTAAATTTATATCACAGAGGAAGTTACGATAGTGGAGTAGGTACTTGGAAATATTATGAAGAAAAAATGTGAAAATGAATATTCTGCAAACGCCATAAATCCACACGCGACGACCGAAGATTAGGAGCAAGCAAGTGAAGCCAAAACTCGATATTGGGTGAATAATCGTCTCCACTACCGGCGCGGTAACCGGCCGGAAGCGCCAGATTTATACCCGGGCGTACCCGGGCGTACCGGCCTGTGACCGTCATGCACCCATTTATACCCGGCCGCAGCGGCCTGTGATCGTCGTGTACCCAGTGATACCCTGGTGTACCGCTACGTCATATCCGTGCTGTCGTCGCTCCGCGCTCTTCATAAAGCACCCGATATGCCTTGAGGGCCGCGATTTATGGTGTGGAAACGTCACAGGACTCGGTGTTTGGGGATAAATCATATGTGTTTGTTTTGTGCATGAGATGTCTAAATTTCTCGGATGTATGCTTGAACTGACTTTGTATTTATGGCGCCGAAGAGATAAGCTCTGTGGGGTTTCTTATACAATTATCTATCACATTATGATATCAACTCAATTAAATAAGTAAAGGCAGTAAAAACAAAAAGAAACCTTTTAATAAATGAGTAAAAAAATTCTTAAATATTCTTACTTTATTACCTACATGACAAAAGATGAAAACAACAGCAAACACAACACAATATAACTTGTCCAAATAAAATTGATTCAAGGAAGTTTTAAAAAAAACTATAAATGAAACGGCAGGCACAAGCAAACTGTAGCTTTTATAAGTTATTCTATAGACATTTTTGATTGACAATTGAGTCCAGCTACCGTGCAGCTACGCCCAGGTAGGTCAAAGACAATCAAACGTCAGTATCAAAGACAACAAAAGGAAGAATTGGGTCACGTACCTCTGAGAGGACGAAATTTACGACCGATGTTGTCAAGTAAATTACTTATGCAATTCACTTCAATAACAACAATGCGACTAAAATAGGAAGTCAGGTATGTTTATGCGACTTTAAATTTGCGTGAAGTTTTTAGCTTTCACTTTTATTGTACGAAATTAGAATGGAACCGTTCTGATATTGCGAAAAAAATAACTGTTGCTACTATAGTTTTTTTTAATAACAATTTGAAGGTTTTTGCAATACTTTCTCTTTCTATAAATAGGTATATGAATTAAGAAACTATAAGAAATAAAAAAAAAAGATAATCTAACATTGCATCACAATTTGTTTTCATAAATTATTAAAATCGAAATCGATCATTAGTTAGACTAATAATCAAAAAGTATTTCTTTTGTTTAAAATCAAGACAAAGTGTGATGAAGTATAAATAAAAACATAAATCAAGAACACATCGCTAACATAAATGATTAAAAAATTCCTTCCATATTATTTACGACATACAAAATATAATAACGTTATGGTTTTAATATAAGTTAGTGGTTTATTGTAGGTTTGGCCTAACCCATTTGTTGCTATCATATCACGGGTGCGGCTCGGCTTCACGAAATTACATGAAAGAATTCAATTTTCACTAATGAACATTATAACCATTAACGAAGACCGCACTATATTTCATTAGTCGTGTTCGAAAATTAAATATAAGAAAGGCATTTGTAATTCAATTAAAAATAATAAATAAAAGAACAGAACAAATAGAAAGAAAAAAACGCATAGTTTTAAGACCCAAGCCCTGTGAAATTAATAATACAAAAGTAGGTCACTAGACATTATTAAATACTTTTATTTCGTAATCCATACTACTAAACATATTTCGGAATTTCTAATCATCGTAATTTGAAAGCTCTGAAAAAGCACAGTAGCGACATCTCGTTTAAATCTGTTATAGCACGTTGCCGCATTAGAAACAACCCTCGCTCTCCAGTTTTCACAGTTTTGCCACCCCAAATCAACCCCAACAGCGCCAAAGCTCGCAAAAGTCGACAACTCGATTTAGCGCCATCTCTGGGATGGTGAAAGCACTAATGTAAAAGCTCGTAGTTTCAGCTTTATCCACCAGAGCGGCACAGTCACAGAGCTTTGAATGAAACACGGATATTTATTGAAAATAAAGTTTACGCTACAAGTTATAGAGTTGTATTTTGGCTGTCAAGGTTGTGGTAACTTTGGACGGAGTATGCAAATTAACGCGCCATTACATGGTAATTTATTTGAAACGAATGACCACTTTGCGGCGCAGTGCATCGAGCACTGAACGTTTATATGGGGACCCTGACCTTATAACGCTTCAATTTATAGCTCGATGCCGTTAAACGCTCTTTTACGTAACGGCTGTTGTGTCTCGAATGATGCCTTAGTGCGCCCACTGACCTTATTTTGCATAGAGCTTTTAAATTTACCATTTCCGGTGAAAATGCTGCAAACTTATACAAAAATCATTAAAAATAGTGTTTCACTTTCACCATAAATAAACGATAACATCTAAAAATTCATCTAATTGACTATCCGTAACCGAAAAAGTTTAAGCTACTATATTCAACGAAGTAAAGTCAAAACAAAAGTATTATCAAAGTCGTTCAGTGCCATAACGCAGATCCCTCAAAGTGCATTGACTCGGTGTGGTAATGGCGATGCTGAGTGTCAATTGAGACCTCCGCATCTTATCAAACATCCATTCGCGAATAAAGACCCGAGCAGGTATTTTATTTATGAGGCCCGACAATGTATTTGTAAGTGCTGTGATTTATAAAGACAGCGACTGTAAAAACACGACCGAAATAAACAAGTGTTTTATTTGAAAACTTATTCGAGTATCGCTCGTGTTTGTGCCAACGTGAGATTGATGTTATTTGCTATATGCTTATGATAAAATACTTGTACTGCCGTTACTGATTTTTTTTTGGTAAAAATTATTTACAAAAAGCTTAGCTCGGACCTTAAATTTAGGAGAGTAAATAAGTAAGGTTAGGCAATCCTCACTACTCCTATAGCATTCCTTGCACTAATAAGAAGTAAGAGAAACATTGTCCCTTACAATTGGATTCTTGGGATCTGTATGTAATTGTTGATCTTTGATTCGCAAAGTAAAAGGTATGTCGATTGTTTGCCGTGACCGAATGACCGGTGCTACACAAGTTCCTAGCTTACTTTATGAGATGATTTAAAATCTATTTATTTAAGATACTCTAATCTAACGACACTAATAAAACAAAACACAAAACGTCACCTTGAAAATTTAAATCAACTAGGAGATACCATCTCTTCTTAATCGAATCCTAAACTGTACTAATTTGTATAAAATCCAGAACGGTTTAAGGTTTTCGAACTCTACAAAGTCGATGGCAGCTGTTAAAACTGAATATAGTTTTAAAATAATACAACATCACGTTACTGCGATAAAAAAAATAGAATTGAATACTTACGCATTAAACTTTTTTTTTTTTTAATTCTGCAATAAATTTATATCTGGCTTACACATTGCATGCCTTTAATTTTATCTGTGGACAGTTACTGGACTTTTAAAACATTAGTCATTGTGCTACTGTGGAATTTATTGCTAAACTTGTAATTGCGTCGTGTTTGATAATAAACAGTCGTACACTTTACAAACCATTGAGCTAACAAGAAATCGTATTGGTACAGGTTACAGTAATAAATTATATTTTTAAAGACTAGAAGAATATTTCTTACTTCCAGGTTTATCTTACTCGAATATCTTGAGCGTGAATAAAAAAAAATAATAAAAAAAATTCCTGCCCCCTCTATACTAAAAACGAGCGTTTAGTTATAACTTCACACTGTGATAATTAGTCGTTATGTGTCTATTTCCCGGTTAACAAAAGCTTCATCATGAAATAGTACTTTCTCACAATCGTACCCACGTACATTCCCATTAAAACAATTTAAACTCAACAAAATCAGACTTAAATGATAAAGACGTTTACAACACTCGTCTCATCTGATTAAAAATAATTCGTACATTCTCAAGATAAGTCATCAAACAAATTATTTAATTATAATATTTAAGTTGAATAACGACCTCAAAAATTACCTCATTAGCGAGGAATCATAACACTCTTGATATTCGCTGTTATTTCTGCCCGCGCCATATATAGCGTGTTAACTTTAAATACTACGTGGAAATATTATAATTAAGGCAAGAAAATATAGTTTTTTCGCCTACAATGTCACCTGCTCGGTACGTGTTGGAAGCGTTGTTGGCTTAAGTGGACATCACGGCCGATGTAAACGATCATTTTGTCAGGAGCATTCGTTAATGACTCGCGCCGAATTGCCCTGTATATCGAATTTAAGATCTCATTCTGTATGTTTCATCGATTCGTAAGCGCTGTATTGCGAAACCTTACTAGCGTGGAGGCACGATTTTGAGATGCGAAACAATTGATTAACTGGAACAAGTGTTGAACGTTTGAAGTTGCAGGAAAACACAATGATCTGTATTTCTATTGATAAATTATAGTAAAATTACTGCATTAAATTTTCTCGATTCTGAGAAATGACCATGACTTCAAACAATATGTATGAAAGAGTAGGTATTCACATTTAAGAATTGTGACTGATATGAACTGATTCTTAAGACCATCATCAATTGATTACCAACTGACAAGCGACTGACAAACGGAAGAGTCTTGGTGAGATTCAACCATGTCTTTAAAATATTGAATAGCTCACTTGCCCGAGTTATAGTGTTGGGAATAGCTAATCACTGGAGTATAGGTGTCTGCAAGGACCAATCGTAATGGCGCGAGGGTGCATGTCCGATGGCGGCTGCGCGATAGCATTGTGCGCGCCGGCGGCGATCGCGGCGCAGATTGGCGCGGCTGTCGCTTACGTGTCGCCTCTCCCGTATCTCCGGCCGCATCGCACGCAAATTATAATCGATACCATTATTGTAATATCCGACTGTAAGGAGTAATGTATATGAGACCTTTGTATCTTTTATTTGTCTTAAACTTGTCAGTGCGAGATTATAAATAACTTAATTGGAAGCATTTTTATCTAATCGTGGCAAATTGCGATGCTTTCAAACAAAGATTTTAACAGTGATGTTACCTTTAAACATTAATAATGGTACTTTTAGTTTCTTTGGTCTGAAATTAAATTTGAACTTTCAAAGAAACACTTTAACCATACAAATCTCTTTGAAATGTGTCAGCGTATCAGTAAAATTTATGCTAAAATGAAAATAAATAATTTAAAAATGTTTAATTTCAGAATATGTCATATACAAGTTTAGGTTCTGTATTAGTTATTATTTTATATGTATGCATTTTATTTCGTCCTGGAATGAAGTTATTTTGTCAATGAGTACAGGCCCTTAGGTTAGCTCGACTATTGTTCCTTTTCTTTGGCTCAAACAAAGAGCTAGATAGGTGATCGAGAAAAATATTGTTGTTTTAATTGTGGCTTTCAAAGGCGCAAGATATACGCGCCGATGTTTTGTCGTGCGACAGGTTTTGACGTCGACTGGCCGCCTTTAGCGGTGCCGCTCCTGACACTATGAGCGTTGCTCGACTTTGATTTTATTTTACAACATTTGTCCCGAACACGCTGTGGTATCCGTTTCTTATCTCTTTCATTCTCATATAACCTT